TATAAATAAGATGAATTATCATTCAGCCATTAGCAAGATTGAAATGCTATCATTTGCATCAAGAGGGATGATGCAAGTTATTATATTAAGTGGAATAAGCCAGTCACAGATAGACAAATATTGCATATTATCTGTCATACACGGAAGCTAAACAATATCCATGTGAATGTAGAAACTCGGAAAGATAAAGAGCAGGATCTTGAGGGTATGGTGTTGGACGAAGGATACCAAAACACAAAGGAGTAACTTCTATGCCCACAGCACAATGATGTGCCTGGAGTTCACACGAACATATCACGTACTTTGTAAAGAACTGAAATAGTGGGCCTGGTAGGCTCCAGAGCTATAATAAAACAATTAGAAATGTTAATTATTAATTTTGATCAGTTTTCATTGCACATATGTGTTGAAATGTTATTCTGTACACAAGTAAAAGTGTTATATCTATTCTAAAACTGAAAAAAAAACCCTTAAAATTGCATAAAATAAGTAATTGCTTCTAAGATGACAATGGAACTCCATTTTATGCAGAGATGAGGAGGTGGCTTAGCTTGGAATGAATAATGCCAGTGAAGGAAGATGACACCAGCAGTTAGTGAAAATTTTAGTCTTAGGGCTAATCGAAGATTTGGATGGTAAATGCTAGAGAGGTGCACGAGGACTACAGTTTGAAATTTAATCTTACAAAGAGGCTGAATGTTTTCCTGTAATGAATGTCCGTTGTTAGGCAAATCCCACTGTTGCAAATGCGCTCTTTATTCTGGCCTGTGACCCTGGAGTTGGAACTCTGCAATGTAGTCTCCTCTGCTATGTGTTTGGTGCATTCTGCCAGGAGGGGGAGCTAGAGATGACACAGGCGTCCAGAGGAAAGGAAAAGGGATTTACTGTTTCCTGTTTGCTTGCAGTTCTTTTGGGTGTTACCATGGCGCTGGCAGGTGGTTCGAATCTCCAACTGTTTTTAGCACTCCTGGGTATTTCACCAGAGTCCCTTAGTGCACTGGCTTCTCAGAAGTCTGGCACCTACTGGGCTTTTCCTTCATATTCTGGGTTCTTTAAATCCAATCATTGCTTCCCGAAGCATTTATCTTGGTGTTTGAAGTTCCATTTTTGTTTTCATCTCAAAACCGTTTAAGCCAGTTTCTTATCTTAAATTTTCATTGCTGAATGCATGCAGTCACTCCTGTTTTGCTGACAGCGTGTTAGATGATTCCTGAAGTGACGCTTTAACTATGAGTTTGTCTACATCTTACTAAAGCGTCTGAAGAACTTTCTCTTTTCCGTTCATTGTGTCAAGTCAGCCTGGTAGCAATGGGTTGAACTAGTACGATGTGTGACATGCTAAGATACCCCAAAAACTCTCTGTCAATCATGATAGAGCAAAAATTCATGAGAGCGAAAAAAATTTATTTGGACCAAGGCTATGTGGATGTGCACTGTTGATCCTGGTGGATAAATAGCAAATTGCTTCTGGTGGTTCTTGCAGCTATTACAGAAGACTAAACTATTTTCTGAGTCAACAGCAATATTAACAGTTGCTAGAGGATGTGATGGCTTATTTCAGGAAAGATATTTCAAATGGAAAAGGAGATCTGATTGAAGGCATCTCACTTTGTGAAGAGTTCACAATAATTCACAGTAATTTTCTAAGATTCATCCAACTTATGCATAAGGTAAATAATCCTCCAAGCCAATGGCTATTACTGGTCTGTAGTTTCACCACATATTTTCCCCACTTTGGAGTTTACTGAAAGCGGCTGAACAGGGACTCACCGTGTTTGCGCCAATGGAGGCAGCTGGGCCGCTGTAGAAGGGACTTGTCCTTGTCTAGCTTTATTCACAGATGTATGGTGCAGCATCCTGATTCTGGAATCCATTCAGAAATCTCACTTGGCCCTCATTTTGAGCTATTTCTGCCCATTTATACTGTATGTGCATTGAGGTGATGTTGTGTGGTTTCTATCATTGTATCTTTGTTTCATTTTTCAAGTTGGTCAAAATCTGGGCAGAAAGGAGTCCTCTACTTGGGCCCCTCCAAGCTCACAATATATATATATATATTTTAAAGATTTGTTTTTATTATTTTTATTGGAAATGTGGATATACAGAGAGGAGAGACAGAGAGGAGAGACAGAAAGGAAGATCTTCTGTCCGATGATTCACTCCCCAAGTGAGCACAACGGCCGATGCTATGCCAATCCCAAGCCAGAAACCTCTTCCACATCTCCCACACAGGTGCAGGGTCCCAAAGCTTTGGGCCGTCCTCAACTGCTTTCCCGGGCCACAGGCAGGGAGCTGGAAGGGAAGCGGGGCTGCCGGGATTAGACCTGGCGCCCATATGGGATCCCGGGCGTGCAAGGTGAGGACCTTACCACTGCGCCACCGCGCCGGGCCCTCACAATATATTTTTAAAAGATATTTATTTACTTTTATTGAAAAGTCAGATTTGTACAAATAGAAGCAGAGACAGAAAGATCTTCCATCTGCTGCTTCACTCCACAAGTAGACCCAACAGCCAGAGCTGAGCCAAACTGAAGCCAGGAGCCAAGAGCATTTTCCGGGTCTCCCACGTGGGTACAGGATCCCAAGGCTTTGGGCCATCCTCAGCTGCTTTCCCAGGCCACAGGCAGGGGGCTGGAAGGGAAGTGGAGCAGTTGGGACTGGAACAGGCACCCATAGGGCGATTCCAGCACATGCAAGGCAAGGACTTTAGCCACTAAACTGCCACAATGAGCCTCACAATGCTTTTTAAGAATGGAAACAAATATTTAGAATTGTCAGGGAACTTGAAGGGTTTATTTTCCGCCCCCTCCAGATGTGTATTTTAAAATGTTAGTGTTCCAGTTTCATGGACAAAGAGACACAGACTTGTAGGTCAGAGACCAAGGACAACTTGTAGCATAGGGAGAAGCCAGAGCCGTGTTCATGCCAGTCCTCTTTTCTGTAGGCCTCATAGGTGGCACCACAGCAAACACGTGGGACTGTGCCTACTCAGAGTTTACGTCAGTGTTGAGGAAGCGTAGACCAGGAATTTCAAGTTTCTTTCTTTCTTTTTTTTTTTTTGAACAGTAGCATGCAAGAAAATCTGCCTAATCCTTGGTGGAGAGGGATATGTTACCAAACAAGCTGGTGCTTTCTGCAACTCAAGGTGCTGATCTAATGCTGTCCATTAGATAAACATCTTTGAAAACGATTATCTGGCACAAAAACTGTCAATTTCTCTGCTCCCCAAGTCTGCAGAAACATAACAAAAGCACAACAGATAACTCACAGGCAAAAACAAATATGCATTCTCTGATCACCACCATCTATTTTGGCTCCAACTACATTTGTCTTCATCTATATTTTGCCTAAATATGGGTATAAACATTTATTTGTGTGTATATAACTTCCTGTCAGCTGACTCTGGATTTTCAGGGATAATTATACAGATGTGCTTTGGTGCTTATACAGAAGAAACCATTCCAGGCCTTTTTTTTTTTTTTTTTTAAGATTTATTTTAGTTTGATTTGAAAGCAGAGTTATTAAGAGAAGGTGAGATAGACCCATTCCAAAAATGGTTGCAAGGGCCGGAGCTGAGCCAGCAATCAGAAACTTCTTTTGGGTCTCCCAGAAAGACCCAGGGGCCCAAGGATTGGAGCCATCTTCTGCTGTTTTCCTAGGCCACAAGCAAGGAGTTAGATAGGAGTGCGGCAACTGGGACAGGAACTAGCACCCCATGGATGATAGCACAGGCTTAGCACCACAATGCTGGCCTCCTAAGGTCCTTATAAAGCAGAAAACATGTTTAACATCTAAACCATATCACAAAAAAATTTTTTTAAGTTGAAAGGCAAGGCCATAAGAATGCTGTAAACTAAATATATGAATTAGAAATACCACTTACATTTAAATGAACAGATTCATAAGCCTAAGCAAGAATATATCTGCTATTTATATGACTGTTTCAATAATGTGCATCATAAATTGCTATAACTTTTTAAAGGTGACTGTTATTTAATTATTTACTTAAATACTCTGATATTTCAGATGCTAAACTGAATTTGGACTAGTTCTGAAGCTAAATAGTAGAGAATATCTCCTCTTAATATGATTCACTATGTCATATTCAGGCCAGATGCTTATTAGAAACATTTTTTCTGAGAAGTGTATTGCAAATGTGTTTTAGCAGTTCATGTCTGCACAGCTGGACCCGTGGCTAATAGTCTCTAATGTAGTTATAATTATAGTTAATGAGCAACCACTATGTAAACATCACCAAAAATAAAAAAATCATTAAACGTGCATCCACTTTCACTTTCACTAAAAATTCCAGGTTTTTAGAAACCTGCATCTAAGTTATTTATTTAAGTATCTCAAAGGCAAAGACATAGTCAGAGAGAGAGAGTCACCCTCGAGATTACTCATTAAAAGAACACAATGGCTGGGAATCAAGCATTCAATGCATGTCTCCTGCAGAATTGGCAGGAATCCGATTATTTCAGCCATCATCAATGCCTTCCCGTGTCTATTGGTGGAAGCTAGAGTCAGGAGCTTATCCCAGAATTGTACCCAAGTATTCTGACACAGTAGAAGCATCCTAACCACCAGGTCAAAGGCTCTGTCCCAGTTATTGCTGGTGGTTTTTTTTCTTTTCTTTTTAATTTTTATCTTCAGCTGCTACCACTCAGGACTCACCTTTTGATCCCTGGAATATGATCCAAGGCCATTTTATCAATATGAAATTCATTTTCTGTGCAGCTATTACTATCTATCAACACTTTCAGAAATGGGAAAAGGGTCTGAAAGAGAGGCCTCAGGAGGCCATGCCTGAGTGTGAGCTCTTCTGATAACCTCGGCAGGCAACTCTGAGCCACACATCTCAGTGCCAGTACGGACACATAGTCCAGTAGTATCTATCACAGGCCCCTTTACTGTGGGATAGTAAGTTCTCAGCTTGGCTGGAACAATTTATTCTTACTTTATGAGCTGCTGATTATAAGTACACATTCAACAAAGAGGGTTTCTTGAATGAAACTCATCTTTATTTTGAAAAGCATATTAATTCTTCTTTCTTAAAATGTACTCATATGCTGTTGTCAATATCAAAAACAGAGAGGTAACAAATTAACATAGCCAAAATTAAGAAGTGAATCCACTATTTGACAAGTATAATCCTATTCAAATTATAATTTTATTAATTCACATTCTTCTTTGCCATTCTGAAAAAAAAAACATAGAGTGGAGAATTTCTCATTTTTCCCTAAGTCACCAAGAGAATATATTGGAATAACTAACAACATAGATACCACAAATACATTATCACCCAAAAAGAGTAGAAATGGATAAAACAGTAATACTAACGAAAACACTTAAAATGAAAGTTGTTTTTTCTCTGATTCCCTTGGTGTTCTTTACTCATGTTAACTCAATCTTTGGCATAATTTAATAGTAAGTATTCATAAAACAAAGTCAAAATTTTTGATTTTCAGATTTCTTGGATTTGTTTTTACTGTTTTATCGGTACTGTAAGAAGTTCTGCAGTAGTGTTGGCAGCTGGAGCTGTGGGATCAGATGCAGTCTTGGTCTCCCAATGCAGTTGCGGATACAGAGTCGGCAAAGCTGGCAAAGAGAGCTTGGAGTAGCTATAAGAAGACAGGGAAGTATTTCTTAATTAAAATAAGAATTAACTTAGAATTGTTTGACATATTTATTATCATTTTTATTTGGAAGAGAGATGCAGAGACCTTTTATCCACGAACTCATTCCCTAAATGCCCGCAGGAACCAGGATCAGGCCAAGTTAAATACAGGAGACTCTGCTGAGTGAAAGGTCCCCAAATACTTGAGCCACACTTGCTGGCTCTTAGATCAGAAAGGAGAAACCTGCACTGACACCAGGCCCTCTGACACGGATGTGAACATCCCAAACAGAATTTCCGCCACTGAACCTGATGTTTACCCCTAAAGTTTTAGATGTTGCATAATCCATAAATAAAACCATAGAAGCTACAAAATTGTGCAGTTAGCTAAAAGGGTACATTCACCATACTAAGAACATTTATATAGAATTTATAGTGCTTCTAATTTATTTATGGGATGTTATTATAATTGGAATATAATCCATGCATGTTCTTTAAAGCATAATAAGTTTCAAGCTTATGAAATTACTGTTGCATTCAAAGCTTAGAGATAAATTTTGGTTTTTGAAAGTGAGATGACCAAAGCCCCCAAAGTGTTTTATAATAAAGGAAGAAAATTTTAAAATCACATACTTTATCAAAGTTTAAAAATTAAGAGTGATGCATTATAGTTTCTAAATTAGGCTTCAACTTTTAGATGTCTTACATTTGAAAACATTTTCTGGTTATATTTTCGCAAAAACCCTCTACAAAGTACATACTCTTAAAATGGGACATGTTTTCAAAGAGAAGTTAGCAAGAGTTAGATCAGAATCACATATTATGCCTCCCTGGAATGAATGAAATTTATTTAGTCAAAGAAATATGAACACTTACATACAATAAAAGGAGGAAATAAATAATTATCATGGAATCTCTTTTACAGATATGGCTTAAGCTGAAAATATTACTCCATTTATACTCAGACACAAATCCAAATTTATTTCATTGTTTCCTATTTCATCTCATCTATTTCAGGCAACTACATTTCAGTGTCTATCCATTTCCCCATGCACACTTTGTACCTTCATGTTGAAGCAATATCCTCTCTACCATGCTGCTGGTGGTAGCTACATCAACAGGTCGCAGAAGGTCTGTATTTTTGGCATTGATATCTGCTCCAAATTCTAACAGTAAGTTGACGGTTTCTGTACTGGATTGCTGAGCAGCAGCGTGTAATGGAGTATCCCAATATTTTCCTTTCTGTACATCAGCACCTACATTTAAATAGGGAGTGATAATAAATCCAAATAAAAAAATATCAAAAGAGTCAAATCCCTCAGCCATGGCATGGCACAAAAGGGAAGGCAATTGAGGAAGAGCCTAATGGGGCAGCCCAGGCTCTGTCTCTAATCAGTTACTTCTTGTGTATCTGCTTGCAGACATCAGTTTTGAAAAAAGTTCAAAAACCTATATTAAAAAGACTTTAGAATTTTGGGTGTACATTTACTTGTGATACAACCTTTATGCACTGGAAAAGTGTATACATATTATTTCATATACACTATTATTTTTGTATGATAAACAACACACACATATACATGCAATCTCAGATTTGATTACATATGGAGAAGTATTAACATTGTATGTTTTCTCTCAGATCTCATAATAAAAAATAATTTTAAATTCTAGTGATTCCAAAGTAATCATATTCTTATTTATTAACAGCACATGATTTTGTTCACATCTGTCACTATCAGTTAAGAACATATTACTTTTGTACATTTATTTTTAAGAAAATAAACTTCTTAGGTTTCTTGCAAAGCTCATTAATTAAGTTATGTGAGGGAACTTAGACAAAACATGTGATTATTTGGATTTTCCTTCCATTTCTCACTTACAGAGTAAGTTAATAAATACATGAAGACACTAGGCGTCTTAATCAGAAAGGAACATTGATGACACCTGCATGTCAAGCACAATTTTTAAATGTCAACATTAAGTCTCAATCCTACATGTGAAATTTCCTATTGTATATTTTATGTTTAAGTGCAAAGCCTAGAAAATGATGTTATTTGGTATCTGTGCAGTTAACAGTCTCATGTTATTAAAAAAAACCTATGATCCAGTAAATAAAAGGTTACAACACCAAGAAATTCTACTGACAAAATGCACAAAGGCTTTTTTTAAAACTTTGTTTTCCAATAATATCTGTGGAACAAATTTTGTCTGTAATAAGCAGTTTATTTTCAAAATCCCTTTACAGCCCTCCTGATACTTTCAAATACCAATAAAATGTGATCATTTTCAATATTTTGAAGGCAAATACAAAATATTTAGTGGAAAAATCATATAAGCTTTATGGGTTATAGTAATTTTATGGGAGAATAGGGCCTGAAGATAAAAATTGGCCACCAAGTAGCATCAGCATTTTTCCAATATTTTTCAAATGCAGTGTGATACATTTGGTGCAAAGACTAATATCCTAACAAAGGAAAGATGAGGCAGCATAACCTCTATCAGTTATTCGAAATTTCATGGTGAACATGTACAGGAAATAATCTGTCAACGATTATTAACAGAGCTCAAGTTTAAGAGTGTTAATGACGTAATGAAGATTAAGTAATAGATGCAGATCCTGCCATAAGGAGCTAAGAAAACAAAGCACATACAAGGGTTACTAAAACACGCCTTATATATCAGAAGCCAAATAACTGTCACACTAAGTGTCACATAAGTCCATTAACTCATCATATGTATATGTACGTATGTATACACACATATTCTAAGCACATATGAGAGAGAGAGATATATAATGCTTAGATATGAGATAAAGGAAAGACAAGACACAATCCGGTTCTCACAGGAACCCCCACTCCTATAGCAGGACAGAGAGATCACCTCAGTCTCAATAGCTTAGGAACACTGAAGGCTAAAGGTGGACCTTGGGGGATCAATTTGTTTCAGGTAATTGGAAAAGGGCATTAAATGTTTTCAAGCAGGCCGAACTGGCAGTAAAGTCTGTGAACGTGGGTAACGATTTATAGCAGGTAGAACATCAAGTTTTCCAAGCAGTTGCTACCTCTAAATTGGCTTTGATGGATTTAGCCACAGGTATATGTATAAGCATGTATATATGCACACACATATATACATATATATACCTGGTGACGTATTAACATTTGAGAATCTTAGATTCATAACCTTTTATAGGTAGAGATTTCAGATTCTGTTCCACATATAGTTCTACTTACGCAAAATAAGATTATGTACATATTCATCTGCAAGCCTTGAAGCTGATTTGCTAATAAATAGGTTCTTTTTATTGGGTATGCACATACGTTCCAGGGCTTTTACAAAAATAACATTTTTAGTGATGATATCTACCTTTATAGAAGCTTACAGAAAAAAATCATTGTATATATGGACAGAAACAGAAGACTTTGATGAAGACAAATACCTGCATAAAGAAGCTTCCAGATACAATGGAACTGCTGTGACATACAAGCTACATAGAGAGGAGTGCCCAAATGAGGAATGTCTTGGTCAACATCTATGCCCCAGGATATCAATATGTCGAGACACTCGTGGTGACCTGCAGACCCAACACAGACGTGAGCTTACATTGACCTCCTGCCCGCCCCCACACATACCCCTTCTCCCATGCATATCTTGTGATATCATTCATAAAATGATAAGAGGAACACTGCAAGCTGCTAAAGGAACATTCTCCCCTTGTCAGCTGGGCTCATGGCGAAGTTACCTTTACTGGCAGCTTCATGTGTGGGAGATGGAAGACATGACTCGAGCTGGGCTTTGGCGCCATATTCCAAAAGCAGTTCTGTACAGCTTGTGCTGCCTTGCGAGCATGCATTGAATAATGGAGTCACACCATCTATTGTGATTGCATTTACCTAAACCAAACCCAAAAATCTAAGAGTAAGATTCATAAGTCATACAGGGTGAATTTAGTTACACATTTTTGAAAGTTATGCCACCTGCTGATACAAATGAAAAAAAATGTGTACAATAAATGAGACACAGTACAATTAGTTCATACACATCAATGAGAAAAGGCTCTACAACTTCTAGAAGTAAATAGAAATAGATGCAGTAGATCATTGCAGGAATGAACGTATGGTAAGGGAAAGTCATAATGGCATATCTATTCATAATAGCGATGTCTTAAAAAATAATGCGAACAAAATACAGAGGTGATATAAGGATGAAGCCACTTTGCTCTATTTTTAAGGAAAAAAATTTAAATTTATATTTTTATATATTTTAAAAGGTTTGGAGGCAGCGAGAGGAGAAGGGAAAGAGAGGAATAGAGAGAAAGAGACATTTCTCTTCTGTCAGCTCATTCTCCCCAAACAATCACAATGCTGTGAGTGGGGACAGTCCAAGGCCAAGATCCAGGAACTCTGTCGGTGCAAGGGTCATCACCTGCTGCTCTTCAAGCACATTAGCAGGGAACTGACTTGGAAACAGAGCAAGTGGAACTCCATCTGATGTAGGATGCAAGTACCAAGTAGTGGCTGAACGGGCTGTACCACAACACTAACTGGTTTAATAAAACAGCTGAATTGATAATTCTATTCTGAGAATTTATCTAAGATAAATCAGCTAAAGGGTGGACAAATGCTGTTGGCAGGAAGACATTTAATCGTGGCTATTTAGAATTATGAAAGCAGAAAATAACCTGAAAATGTCCATGTTACAATACAGCCTGCTACCCATTTATGCAGTGATCGGAAATCCTTTGTAGTTTAGTGGGAAGTCTGAGGCAATCTGAGAGCCACATCTTTATTCAACTATTTTTGAAAGTAAATGAGAAAGAAGGAAAGCAAATCAAAATGAGAACTTGATTGATTTCCTTAGTCAGTAGGTAAGAAATTATTCATGCTTTTAAATATACTTACATTAGCTCCAGCTTCCAGAAGTGTTCTGGCACATGCCACGTGATCACCAAGGCAGGCCTCATGCAGTGGAGTGATTTGGTCTATGGTTACCGCATTTACATTATAACCCTAAATGTGACGTAAGGAAAGTACATGTTAAATAACAGCATCTCCACAGCTCTCTCAGGATATTAAAGCTAATTATATTGATTTGATCAATATACATTATACACATTTATTGAGATGCCACATTATGCTCTATAGGCATGCTTAACTGTTATTCACATAATTGTTTTATGTTTTAAAAAAAAAAATCCTGATAATTAAAAAAGTCATCACAGAGTGATATATTTTTAAGATCAAAGAATCTCTAACAAGACAGTTTCCAATACACCAGAAATGGTAATTCAAATGCCTCAAGGTGGTGAGTTATCCGAATTTTGAAGTCCAATTATTGTATCAGCACCAGACACTTCAGTACTTTATTTAATAGACTCTTCTAAACATTCTTGCAACTTTGGTTTTTTTTTAAATAATTTCATTTTTATTATGCATTTATTTTTATAGAGCTAAATCACTTTTCTAGCTATGGGCTAGAATACTTACTTGTTTGGTGCTATACAATTAAAGTTCAGACAAGACTGGGAAAAAATAAACTATAGTAAACTGCTTTTGAATTTTTTTATCACTAACCAGACATGATTTATGTTGTGACTAAATCTGGGCTAGAGATTAAGAGCTCTGATCCTTTAGATTAGGGTTTGATAGCTGACTGCAACTTTTAATTTTGACAATTACCCCAACCTTTGAATTTTAGGGTGGCATTTAAATGACAGTATGTTTGTAAAGCAATTATTTTTACCAGTGCCTGGCATAATAAAATGTTAGATTTTATTGTATTGTAATCATCCAGTAAAAATTAAGTTGAGCACTTGAAATTATACTCTGATAAAAAATTCACATATTAAGACTAAACTCAGTAAATATCATTAGAACATGACATTTTTGTCTTCCTGTTCTCTTTGCTCATCCACTATCTATTGATAACCATAATAATACTGTAATAGCAAAAATATTAAGACCATATCTTCTCAATATACTACATATTACTATAATCTGTAATTTCAGAGTAAAAATGAAGAATCTTGAAATGAGAAAAGTAAATAAAGAAACAAATGTCCCAAGTCTTTGCCACACAAACAAGTAGAAATTTTTTAAGACACTTCAATTTTGTTTTCAAAGTTTTCAATTTGGCTGCCCAACACGCAGGTTTAGAGAGCTGATCACGAACCAGAGTGACCAAATAACAGAAGTCAGTGAGGAGCTTCCCACAGTGCCCTGGGGATGGCCACTGTCCCCTTTTGGCTGACCAGTCAGCGGGTAGGCGACAGGCACTGAGAAATGCCCTGACAGCTCTCCTCTCAAAGGATAATTCTTCAGAATTTAGACTCCTCTTTTCCCTCCGTAAAGTAAGGAGCAAAATAGAGTTGTTACATGGTTCCCACAGAACTGCACATCTAAACTGGAGCATCCCAACCTAAGTCTTCATTTCACAGCTGAGAAAATAGACAGTTAGGCCATGGCTCACATAAAGCAACAATCTAGGACCCAGGTGGGCCTAGCGCCAGCCATTAGTAGTCAAGCTTTCTTCACAGCTACCTGAGAACACTGCTTTGTCTGTCCTATTGGGAAACACGAGATGCACGCCAAGTATGAAGAACACCTGTGTGTGGTGGGATGTACACACAGACCACTCTGCAAGTTAAAAAAATTTCTCTAACGCAGAGTGCTTTGACTTAAAAAACAAACAAAACAAACAACCAGCTATTCATTTCTGCCATGGAGTGTCTGAAGAGCAAAGGTGGAGATGACTGTTTCCATAGACAACACCCTATAACACATCACAGACACTCCACTCCAAACAAGATAGATCTGACATTTTCCCTGATCTCTCTATTTTTGGAATTTTTACATCTGAACAGACTGTAATAACCTGTACATGTTGTATGGAAGTAAGCCTATGTGGAATGCTCGTTTAATAAGTAATACCCAAGTCCTTTTACTACTTACGTATGTCTCAGCAAATATACTGTATGAGAAATTCAAAGCACTAAGACATATGCTTCTACTAATGTATTTATAAAGAAATTTATAAAGTGTTTATGAAGAAATTTCAGAGAAATGAGAAGCTATTAAATTGCCAAAGATAAGTTAAAATCAGGGCAATAGTAAAACGTAAGCAATGCTTATTGTTTTTCATTGATTTGTTCTGCTTGTGCGCTATGCATGTGCAGAGAGGGCACATTTTAAACCATGTGTAGTTTTACCTGTGATAACAGTGTTCTGAGAGCCAGCAGACGACCCTGACTGGCTGCTTCATGCAGTGGTGATCTATCTGCCCAGGAACCTGTCGAAAAGGAAAACAAAAATCTGTGAGTCAAAGTCAGCCCTGATAGACACAATCAAACCCAACGTAACGTGAGTTATTCCTACTCAGCATTTATAAGGTGACCCAGATACCTAGCATATGCAAGGAGATGTGATTCTTACGAGAAGTATCCACATACACAGTTTCCAAATCTGAAGGGTCATAATGCAAGTTTGGGAATTGAACTATTATTCCAGGTATTCTGTTTTGAGTTATCCTCCAAAGAGGACGAGGATTCATGTCACTGGATCAGCCAAACCAACTAACCAACCAAAAAACCCCAAAACCCTCTGTTTTATTATGATTTTTCATACAGAAATCAGGGGGGAAATCTTGTATTTTTAGCATGGAATGGTCCTCCGTGAACACTACCAGTGGGCCTCAAAGTTCTTCGGGTCTCCTTGAGGTTTAGAAGTTACAACATGTTGCCAAAGACAGAAAATGGCTGAGTCCCAAATGTGAAAGGCAGAGGGGGTTGTGTGGGCCCTTGGGAGGGGATAGCATGGCTGGTAGGGGCATATCATCTGAATTTGAATGGTGCTGAATTACCAAGTGCTCATTCACAAGTTGTTGGTTCTCTATGTGGCAAGAGTGGGTGGACTGGGGAAACCCTACAAACTCAGAGTGCCACATTTATGTGTCTTTGCTTCTCTCCCAATAGAAATACTGGTCCCTCTTAAGCAAAAATCCCTCTTTCCTTCTCTCCCACAACTCCTCTTGGTACCCAGCCACCACCAAGAGGCACAACTTTTCCTTTCATCAATCTCACCCTGATGGTACACCGCAGGTGGCTCTGTAATACATACTGGGGTACACAGTGCTTTTCTGATGACTTAAGCAGGATCGAAATTACTGGTTTGATATAATGTTCATTAGAATCGCTATTAAGGCCAATCAAAAAAAAAACACAATAAAACTATTTAATGGCGTTACAAATCAATAAATGAAAGCAACACTGAAGAGAAAATCTTCCCGGTGTTGCGTGACTATGGTTACTGATATCTGCCTCACTGCCTGTTATACCCCAGCCATAAATCCATAGGATGCAATGTATAGAACAGTCTTTTATAAAACTGCAAATGAATGATAACCTAATTAAAATGAACACAGTTACTCATCCTCACCATGTACCCTATCACTGAGTCTAAAGGTACTTTTACTAATCCTTACACTGGTCTTTAGAGGTTGTTATTAGTAATGTCTCTGAGGAAAATGAGACGTAGAGAGGATAGGTAACTTGCCCAAGTTCAAGAGGTTCAGACTGCAGACATAATATTCAAGCTGCAGCTTCCAGGTACAGTGTTTTTAACTGCAGTTCTGTCTCTGATTACACACACACACACACACACACACACAGCATGCTGAACTGCAAAATTATACATTTTGGTGAGTTTTTTTTATTGTTATTACTTGATTGATTGTCATTTCTTCTAAAATCATCTGGAGCTAAACTCTCTGAAGCGGCTTACTTCATTCTTCTAATAATGTAAGATTAAGAAGTTGCCCATTGCTGTGATGAGATAAGGTGCTCAGTGGCAGGATACTATAGAGATTGTTGAGGCAGGTTTCCACCCAAACCAAGAAGTAAGGAACGAATCAGCCAGAGAAACAAAAAACTAAACACTGTTCTACAATCTGAGGTAAATTATCACCAATCTTAATTGCACAAAAATTAAAATCAGTTCTCTCGTACTGGAATCTATTTCTTAGATACTCAGGGAAAATCAATTGTGTGCCATTTTTACTAATCATTTTACAGCTTCAAAATATAGCTATATGATTCAGATGTCCCTTTCTCATATTTTTCCCATACTCTGACTTAAGGCGAAAAAGGGCAAAGAGAATTAAGTCATGAAATATCGATCAGAATAAAGATATGCTTAAGTATGTCCTGGAAATAGTGAAATTCTCAAGCCATTTCTTGCTCATTTTAATCTGAAGTTTCAGAACAATGATAAATGAGGTTTAAAGCATTATAAGTTTCAGAGAAAGATGAAATCATGTTTTCTTTCCTTATAAAGATGAGTAAATAGATGTATAGATACAATTTAAAATGTCTCCACAGTATTATTTCTTTGTTTTCCAGAAAAACAAGTAGGATACCCAATTATTTGAACTTTAAGTTGAAATGAGATACTGTTATTAGCTTTTTTACATTACTTCTTTTACGTGTTGCCTGGTGCCATTACATATTCAATGCATAATTGTGCTAATGTACACCAACAAACATTTGCTTGTAGGGCAAAATTGGGAATCAAACTACTAATTTGAAGGAAATTGAAGACTAAGTTTTAATTAAAATACATAAGTTACCATCAAAATAATATTTTAATGTAAATGAGCCTCTTCTTAAAATATTTATTTATTTTTATTACAAAGTCAGATATACAGAGAGGAGGAGAGACAGAGAGGAAGATCTTCCTTCCAATGATTCACTCCCTAAGTGAGTGCAACAGCTGGTACTGTGCCAATCCAAAGCTGGGAACCAGGAACCTCTTCCGGGTCTCCCACGCTGGTGCAGGGTCCCAAGGCTTTGGGCCATCCTCAACTGGTTTCCCAGGCCACAAGCAGGGAGCTGGATGGGAAGTGAAGCTGCCGGGATTAGAACCAATGACCATATGGGATCCCAGCACGTTCAAGGCAAGAACTTCAGCCGTTAGGCCACTGCGCTGGGCCCAAATGAGCCTTTTTAATCTCTAGCTCTAAAATGAATTATAGTGCCTTAGTAGTAATTTACAGGGCCTGGTGCAGTAGCCTACTGGCTAAAATCCTCACTTTGCATAAGCCAGAATCCTATTGGGTGCTGGTTTGTATCCCAGCTGCTCCACTTCCCATCAAGCTCCCTATTTGTGGCCTGGGAAAGCCATACAGGATGGCCCTGCACCTGTGTAGCAAACCCAGAAGCTCCTAGCTCCTGGCTTCAGATCTGCTTATCTCTAGCCATTAAGGCCAGATGGGGAGTAAACCAGTGGATGGAAGATCTTTCTCTCTGTCTCTCCTTAAATTTGTAAATCCGACTTTCCAATAGAAGTAAATAAATCTTAAAGAAAAGTAACTTAAAATTGCTTATTTATTCATTAAACATTTTGATCAGTGATAGAAATTCTGGAGAGCTTCATAATATATTATCATTGTGAATATGCGATTTTCACTATGAATATGCAAACAATAAAATATGACTTTCAAATAGCTTGCATATGTGACACCGATATGACAACATAAATGAGTAGTAGAGTGGTAGTAAACTAATCAAGTTTTACGCAATCAGTACTTAAGCATGTGTCAGCAATCACTTATAATATTTGTAAAAATCAGGTCTTCTTATATAACAGTTTGTTACATTTTTGTCTTAATTTATCCCTAAAAGATATATGCTGAATTATTTGAGGCTGACCCTGCAGTTTCCCATTGTCATGAGCTGACATGATGAACTCACTAGATGAAGGGGCTGGTAAAGTCTCCAGAAAAGATTGGTTTTGGGCTCATTCATATCCAGCATACTATGAAGGTTTTAAGGGGCAGTCATGCTGAGGGTATTTGCATCTGAGGGCCTATTTTGGTATTCGTCCCAGCCAGCTCTCCTCCCTTGCACTCTAATGTGTTTGTTCATCAAATTGTTTGCATGAGTGTTCTGAACAATTTCTATGTTACTTGCTGGTGTTCAAAAAAAGAAAAAGAAAATGAAAATGATCTCTTAAAAATAAGCTGTACAAGGGACAAGATAAATATCAGTATTCAAATTTATCACTCCAGATCCATCTCTTAGTTTTCCTCTTGGGATTGTCAGGTTTCCATTTTGCCTGTCACTTTCTTTGTCATTAAGGCTTCAGTCCAACAAGATAAAACTGAAACCAGATTTTACTTGTGTGTCTATATAGTAATTTGCCTTTGGTTTTATCATTGTAACCCCTCACTGGCATGAGAAAGAAGATCAGTCTGCAGAAACTTATTGAATATTGCTTCAGCATTCTCTCACTCCGTGAAGCAGGGGAAAAGCTTGCAAAATTTCACTGTCTTGTTTTTTTTTTTTTTTTCCTTTGGATGAACCGAGCACTGTATAGGAGCCCACAACCTCTCACTGTTTTCTGAAGTGGAACAGAGAGGGGCATACAAAGAGAGGAAGAAGATGATCAGGAGTGAGAAATCAGACGGAGTCCGGTGCTGAAAGAAGCCTGAGAGGAGGGCAGCCTGGATGTGCACCCCTTCATATGTTACCCAGCCTCGCTGCAATCCCACCTGCCTACTGAACGGAAAAGCACTCTCGGAAGCAGGAATTGGAAAAGGAAAATGAGCACCGTGAGTGTCTGGCATACAGATACACAATAAGGAACTCCCAGCACTGCTTGCTAAACAGAAACTGATAAAGCAGACTTCATATGAAATTTAGGGAACAACCTGTCCCCCCAAACTAAAGAAACTCAAACCATAACTAGTATCTTTCATTCACTAAGATGTTGTACAAAGCTATCAGCTTGACTAAACAGACAACATAAAGCAACTGAATGATTTATATGTATGCTTCAACCAATAGCAATTGTAATGCTGCATTTTATCTTTCTGAATAAGAAACAAAGCTATATCAATGTGTTAAAGGAGTAATTTCTAATGTTATGCAAGCCACCAACAAGTTTTTTTTCTTTTGCTTCTTAACTTGTGAGCAACCCCACCTCATTTGTTTCCTTTGGAAGACTTTCTGTAACTAATCTGGTAACATGTGAGAATCGAAGGATACTATATCAAGTTCCAATTTCTGTTTTGAACTAAACCTTTATTCCTTCCTGTGTCTCCTCTTCAAAACATGAAATTCAGCAACTACAAATTTCTCTTCAAATGTCTTCAATGCTAAATTGATAGAATTTATATTAGGAGGATTTATAAACTTTTTAATATCAAATAAAATATAAATATTTAAGATAAACATTATGATTTTGCAAATGTGTTCTACTTTAATTGGGTAACTAAGGCGAAAACAACATAAA